GAAGATGGAAGGAATGTGAAGTGGGTTGACTAGCTGTGACGGTGGTCGAAGACATGTGCCGCCGGCACTAGGGCATTGGAGGCGGGAGCTGGAGCTGGGACGGGAGGCGATGCGATCACGAGGGGGTTCGGAAGGGAGGCAGAGGTGGTGAGCGAGGATGGTCGATCACTCAGCGGCGGCGGCGGCGGTGGCTTTCCAGATATGGAGGAAGCAGGGTCGCGGGATGAGGTAGTTGTGGTTGCGACAGCTTTGGCGGTCGACAAGAGTCGGACTGTGAATGCGTGCAGCCGGCCGGGGCTTTCTTGGTGTGCGTGGATGGGCAGGCGAGCGTTTTGTCGGATCGCTTTGCGCGGCGGCTCGGTGCTTTGGCAGCTTTGTGCGATGCTGATGCGGCAACGCAAGCAACTTGAGTGGTGGAAGGATGACAGGCGATGGTTGGGGGGCTACGCCAAAGGGAAACCAATGTGCTACTGAACGACGGTTGAGAGCAGTAGTCGGAATGGCGTAAATGGCAAATGGCGTAGGGCGGATAGGCGCTTCAGATGCCGTCAAGGGTTGGGTGGTCGTCTCAAAGGGGGTCTAGACCGGAATCCGAGAGTAGTGGTTCAGGTGCTGGGGAGAGAGACCGAGAGAGGAGAGGAGAGCGACGGAGAATAAGAGGATTGGCAGTGCAAAAAGTGCGAAGTAGGTAGGTATTCGCAACAGAAACGACCCGCCGGCAGAGTTCACAGTCAGTACAGAGTACAGAGCACAGAGTATCCGTAGGGTATTCGGCAGAAAGCTGAATTATCGGACTGGAGGTGGATATCAGGTATTCGCAGATGGTCCTGTCGCCCAGCCGTCGTCCGGGGACCGAAAATGAGGAAAAGGTCCGCAGCGGGTTCCCGAAATGGAATTTCAATTAAAAGTGGTGGACGTGTCGATTCGCGGTTTTCGCGAAAAAGGGCGTGTCGGTCTGGTGAGCGTGTCGCGTCCAATTTACAGAGGGAAGAGGGCGGCGAGGGGGGGGGCCGTGTGCTCGCTGGAGGGGGCTGGCAGCAGAGACACACAGAGGAAGCAGGTGCGAGCCAGAATTCGTGCCTTCCCATTTGCTTAAGCGAGCCGCACAGGCCACTCAGACTGCTGGTTTCCCGGTGCGAGGTGGGGCACTGAGGGTACGTACCGGCCCTCCTCACCGCGAAAAGTGAAAGGGCATTCACGTCGGTCTGCGAGGGAGGAGCGTGGGTGACGCGTAGTCGACGTGCCGCGGGTGGCCTTATCGCAGACCAGGTCTGGGCCTCTTATCGCGTCCACCTTCAGTCCCATAACCAGAACCAGTCACGATGAGTACTTTACCCATCATGTAAACAGCTGAGGATTTCCTTAAGATCAGCAGTTAATTGATGGTGGTTGACGACTGTTGGTTCAGACCTCAATGCTGGGTACTTTGCCAGCAAGCAGTCTGACCTCGAATGGCATCCGTGATTCTCACGTGCCATGTGCTGAACAGCCGATGAAATAGATGACTTGGCCCTTTCCTAAGATATCAGTATTCAACAATCTTCAATTGGCAGTCAATTGACAATTCATGCTACCCTCAATACCTAAGGTAACATCGACCCTCTGTTGTTCTTGCCTTGTAAATAATAATTGTCTACGGCAACTGCCCCCCATCCCAGGAAGCTTGGGCCACTTCCCCCTCGGCTCCTGAGGCAGATCCGATGAAGCTCGCAGCCAGTCCCCGTCACCGCTGCAGCCAAATCTCCAAATTTCTGCACCGTACCTTACCTCCGTCCTGCATGCATCCTGTTCGACATCGATACCGACTCCGACGCCGACAACGGTACATGCGTCTCTGCCCGACTGCGAGACACCAGCCGAGTGCAACAACAATGTCCCTGCCGCCCTGTTCCTGATTGTCCTTGTCTCTTACCAGCCTCCTGCTGCTCCACCATCACCATGCCCAAGGTCCGCCTCCCGATCCGACACCCCACACCGCAAAAGAAGGTCTGGAGCCACCTCCACGCCGCGACCGCTACCTCCACCGCCGTTATCCCCCTGCCGCGGCCTATCCGACCCCTTCACCTCTACCGCCACCTCCTCCGCGCTACCACATACTTCCCGCTCATCTGCCGTTCTTACCTGGAGGACTGGGTCAAGGACGGCTTTCGACGAGAGCGAGCGAGAGCTGCCTCGGCAGCAGCCAAATTGCCCACACGAAGGCGCGACCATGGCCGAGAACGAGAAGAACACTTCCTGCGCACAAAAGCCCTCGGGGAAGGTAAAAGGAAGCTCGTCATCCTCAATGCCGCACTCTTGGGCGACACAGACCGCTTCCGCAAGGTTTTATGGCTCGTTTTTGGGAAGCTAGGCCGCCGACGCCGTGAGCTCATGGCCGACTTTGTCAAGAAGGAACCCGATCCTCCCCTGGACATCAACGAGCTCGAGAAGCAAATGCAAGTGCTTGACCTTGAACGGGACATCCGGGAGACCAGAAAGCTGCACGAACTCAAAAGGACTCCCCCGACGAAGCGCGTGTTCGACCGGACCGATCCCACGCCCTGGGTTCGCCAGAAGCTTAGTCCCATCGAAGACAACTGGGATATCAAAAAGCTCACCCAGTTCTACACCTCCCAAAAGACGCAGCAACGTGATACACCATCGGATTGCTGGCCTCGAACTGAGCTTGACAACTTCAAACCTGAAAAGTTCGTCCCCGAGCAAGACGTGTGGGGCCGAGAAACCGCAGCCCAGAGGAAAACAAAGAAAGTGCGTCTTTGGTGGAAGAGGACGGCAGATAGGCTCGTGCCACCGGTGGAGCGCAATGAATGGGACATGTTGCGCTTGATTGTCAGCGGTGATGCGCCTGAGATCTTGTGGAAACTGGCTCCACGCAGGCCAGTTGCTATGAAGAAGAACGAGCAGGGAGACTTTCCGTGGTCGGCCTATGCCTCAATCCCCGTTCGCGAAATCGAGCGCCCGCGGTCTCGAAAGAGAACCCGGCTGACTGGCAAGACGGATGACGGCCCATACTCGCAGACCCAACAGCGGGTGCGCGAGGTTCCATACAGCGACAGAAAGCTCCGGCGAGAGTTCAGCAGGTTATGGCAGGCCTCATCGTACGTGGAGGAGAGTAAAAGCGATGAAAAGGGCCGGGACAAGCGTGAGTTTGTCTGGGGTAATCCTTTGACTAGCCCACCCATCGCATCGGGCCCTCAACTTGGAATCTTCGAGGGCGTCGATGCCCAGGGGCAGATACTTGGCGGAAAATAGTGCCTTGTCTATTTGTTTTTATTATTATACCCCGGCTCCCGTTCTATTTAGTCTAGCAAGCCAGCCAGCTTCGGCAGGGCGTCACCATCGACACGCATGCCAACCCACTCGTCCATGGCCTTGGCGCCGATGGACTCGTAAAACTTGATGCTCGGCTCGTTCCACTTGAGCACCACCCACTCAAGTCGGCCTCCGTCCATGGCGACGACCTCCTTGGCCAGCTCGACCAAGAGGCGCTTGCCATAGCCCTTCTTGCGCTCCGTCTGGCGTACATAGAGATCCTCGAGGTAGACACCGGGCTTGGCGCGCCATGTGCTGTAGTTGTAAAAGTACAGGGCCATGCCGACACCCTCGCCCGCTTCGTTGAACAGGATGAGACACCTCGCGGGTCTGCTGGGGGATGTGGGCTCGGTCACGGGCTTGCCCGCCGTGCAGGCGGTCTGGTCGTCCGGGGCGAAGGCGATGGTGTTTCCGAGCGATTCCTCAGTGGCCTGGACACTGTCAAGTTCCTTCTCGTAGTCCGCCAGCTCCTTGATCAGGGAGAGGATGATGGGGATATCTGGGGCAGTGTCAGTTCATGTCCCCCCGCCTGCATGGCAGCAAGATATGTTACTGGCTTACCTTCGCGTCGCGCATGGCGGACGGTTGAGTTTGAGGGTGCCATTTTAGAGAGTGAGTTGCCGGGCTGTAGTGTTTTGAGCACAAGATAGCTTGTTGCAGAGCCTCAATTGCAGAACCAAAGATTATTTGTACGGCTCAGCCTGGTTCTCAAAGGGCGCGCCTATGTCGAAGGTGGAGAAGGAATCATGCATGCGCCCCTCAACCAACGTTAGATTTATGTCTGTTTTTCACCGCCTTCGGGACTTGTGTTTCATCACCTGGGCCGAGTCAGAATGAGTCAGGATGCATCACGGCAAGCATATCTACAACATCTATAGCTTCAACAAGAGGCTGTTCAAAGAAGATGTGAGCAAAGTACAGCCAAGAAGCAAAACACTGGACCAGCTAGATAGCTGGTGGTGTGGGGATGAGGGGTAGCGGATGGCAATCATCTATCGGTATCTTATCATCGATCCGTAGCGACAGGGAACAGAGCTTCATTCCCCAGTCGAAAGCTCTTGACGCAATCTGCAATGTTTCCTCGGTTCAGCCAGCTATTCTCCGCGTCGCCGGCCTTATCGGCAGAAACATCCAGCCAGGCTCCGGCGGACATGTTCAATTGCCGCCGACACCGGGCCGGAGTCCCCCAGTCCGCGAATGGAGCGAGCAACGCAGATTGGATGAAGGAATGAATGATGCGAGAACCCTTGGCCGCAGACGCCATTGACGAGTCAAAAGATACGCAATTCCATTGAGCCAACCGTCTGAACTCCCCCCACACACTCGCATCGGCGGCGTTCCGACCTTCCTGTTGCGCCATCTGGCCCTGCGATGCGCTCAGAGGCCAGCGAACCAAACATTGGAAGACTGGACCCCCCGCACCAGCTCCAATGCCCCTCCATTTCAGGGTACATTACTGCTGTGATTATGCCATGACTTCCGCTGGTGGACGGGTCGGTGTGAGAGAGAGCTTCCTCTGTCCGTTATTTGTGATCCGACCAGCTGAAACCCGCCAGCCTGAATCCCGTCCGCGCTCAAACTCCTGCTTATCAATACTTCACATCTGTTCATAAACAACACCAAACCTCACAGCCGCTTCATCCCTTTTTCTTAGTGATCTACTACGCCAACACAAAAAATCAATGATCATGCTCCTCCCGCCGCCGAACCCGACCCTCAAGGGCCAGAAGCTCTTGATCCTCTCCCAGTTCAAGCCCGACGACGACTTCTACGCCAAGCTGCACTCCCAGTTCCCGGATCTGAAGGTCGTCTACCACGAGCTTGGCTTCCCCGAGAAGAAGCCCGGCAGCACCTTTGACGAGAGCGAGTGGAAGGACGTGACGATCCTGCTCACCGGCAGCGCCCTCCCGGACCCGGAGCAGGCGCCGAAGCTGCAGTACGTGCAGCTGCAGAGCGCCGGCGCGAACCACATCTTGAAGCATCCGCTGTTTACGGACACGGATGCAGTCTTTGCGACGGCGAACGGTGTCCACGGGTATGTTTTCTTGAGTTTCTAGTGAGATCCAACGGTCAACTCACACCCGCGCAGACCTCAGATTTCCGAATGGATCATTTCAACCTACCTCTCATTCCAGCACCAACGTGAGTTACTTCACCCTTCAGGTTACACCGCATGAGTGCTGATCAACCCAACAGTCCCCAAATACATCGACAACTTTCGCGAAGGAAAGTGGTCTCGCGGAAATGAATGGGTAGAAGACGCCGTCGGTCGCACAATGCAAGTTCCCTCCGTCACTCGCTCTCCCCATCACCAGAGCATCTCACTAACCTCACCACCAGAGGAATCCTCGGCTACGGCAGCATCGGCCGCCAAACCGCCCGCGTAGCCACCGCCCTCGGCTTCAAAGTGCACGCCTACACTCTGCACCCGCGCCCGACGCCCGAGTCCAAGCGCGACAACGGCTACTCGCCCCCCGGCCTCGGCGACCCGGAGGGCAAGTTCCCGTCCAAGTGGTTCTCGGGTGCCTCCAAGGCCGACCTGCACGCCTTCCTCGGCTCCGGGCTTGACCTGCTCGTCGTTGCGACCCCGCTGACCGACAAGACGAGCCACCTGCTCGCGGCGGAGGAGTTCCGCATCCTGTCCGCCAAGAAGACGTTCGTGTCCAACATTGCGCGTGGCCCGATCGTCAACACGGACGACCTGATCAAGGCACTCGATGACGGGCTCATCCGCGGCGCCGCGCTGGACGTCACGGACCCGGAGCCGCTGCCTGAAGGGCATCCGCTGTGGAAGGCGAAGAATCTGCTGATCACGCCGCATATCAGTGGCATGTCGACGAGTTACACGGAGCGGATTCTGGGGATTTTGGACCTGAATTTGGAGCGGTTGAGTCAGGGGAAGAGGCTTGTGAATGTTGTCAACAAAAAGGAGGGTTATTAGACTGTTTTTATGGTAGACAGATCCGACAGCGATTTTGTGTAATGATCTCATTCTTGATGAACGAGGAAGAGTCTCTCAAAGGTGCTTGGCTGACGCGTGGCTCACTGAGTTTGGCTACTTTTCTACGTGAACATCGACTCACCCTGCACACATATGGCAACTCTCATTCACGACTACCTCGGATGACCCATTCCTTATTGCTCATATAGCCACAAAACCATGCATGCCCATCTGAAGCCTTGCTTCCTCGCTCAGGCCTCTGTACTCGCGCCATGCCCTACCCTACCAATCAAACAGCCTCAATCCGCGGAGACGACGTCTTTCGATCATAACTACCATCGACAGACGTCGACGTGCCCTCTGCAACAGACGAATCCTGTGACTTGGGCTGGCGTTTCTCTCTGCATCTCAGTTAGCCGCTCAGTCTCCAACACAGAAACAGTGAATCTTACCCCTGAGTCCCCAACAACACCCGGACAACCTGCGTCGTAACCACCAAGCACACAACCATGACCGCAGAATAGACATAGCCCTTCGGGAACCTCGGCGCCTCAACGGTGGGATACACAAACAGCGGGATCCACGCATTCGTCGACGTCGCGATCGCCGTCATCAGAATCAGCGTCAACGCCCTCTCCTCAATGTTATTCTTCAGAATGACGTTCGCCCAGCCGTACAGCACCGAGGACACGGCCACCGCAGAGTACGACGTGCTGAAGGCGAACCACTTCGCCGCCTCGGGCACGTTCCAGACCGCCAGGATGACGAGCCCGGTGAAGTTGACCGCCGAGGCGAGGGTGATGGCGGCCGGCCGGCCGATCCACAGGTCCGCGCTGAAGTTGATGAAGAGCACGAAGAAGATGCCCAGGCCCGGGCTGATGGCGTTGAGCTTGTTCATCTCCGCGGTGCTGTAGCGCCCCAGGCTCTTGATCCACAGGAGGAAGGCGGCGCTGTTGGAGCTGGTGTTGAAGAAGAAGACGTCCCACAGCACGAGGAGGTAGAAGCGCCAGTTGGTGAAGACGCGCTTTAGGAGGTTGAGGGAGAAGGGGGTGCTCTTGACGGAGCTGCCTGTTTTTTCGAGACGCGAGCGCGCGAGTTCGAGTTCGGACTTCTTCATTACGAGTCTGTTTGGTTTGGCGGGCGTGCCGGGCCAGATGAAGTAGCCGATGAAGGCCAGGGGGAGGGTGATGATGGCGTTGATGATGAAGAGCCAGCGCCAGCCTCGCAGGCCGTGAACGCCGTCGAGGTAGGTCGTTGCCGCGGCTTGGAGGAGGGATGCCGTGAGGGTGCCGAGCGTGAGGCCGATGTAAAATGTGCCACCTCGGCGACCAATCTCGTCGCTTCGGTACCAGGACCCAAGGACGAAGTGTACGCCAGGGAAGTACGATGCCTGTCAAAATTGTCAGGAGGCGCGTCGGAAAACGGAATTATGATACTAACCTCGAACAGGGAGACCATGAACCGGTAGGCCATGATCTCACCATAGCTTTGGGCGCGATACTGGAGCAGAGTGAACAGTCCCCATCCTTATTTGAAAAATTCAGCCCATGTTATTGCAGACGATTCGCAGTCTGAGGCATAGCTCACCTAAATCAAGGGTCGGCACCAGAATGTGCATCGGTACTCGGGGGAACAGGTAGATGAACGGCAGCAAGCCGACCACGTTTCCCACAACGAAGATGGTCTGGAACTGAACCAGCTCATTCCCGTGGAAGCCGAGTTCATCGGCCATTCCTGATACGTATGCATTATCTAGAACGTGTCAGTAAACTTCGGCCTGGTGCGTTGAGGGGGCCATACTGATGTTGGTCTGGTCCATGTACTTGACCCAATAGAGAATGAAAGCATAGGGAACAATGAGCAGATCCAGCTTGAGGATCAGCTTGCGTTCCTCCGGGCTATCGCTGGGCGAGAACCAGTGATACCACCGGCGTACGGGTTCGGCCATGATGAGCAGATGCGTCAGACTCACGACGAACAGGACGTTGGTATTTCCCAATCGTCATATATATCTACTTTCATTTCCATTTCTTGTATCTTAATAAATGAAACAACTCCATCCCTCAACTGAGAAATCCCCGAAGTCGTCACCACAATACCGGAGCACATCACCGGCAAACAGGGGCCGGAGTCCCTGCGAAGGCATCAAGCACCGGCCTAGGCCCCGACCAGCGTGCCGGTATTAGCGACCGCGTGGCATTATTGCCGATGTCTTATCTTGCATCGAGTTCTGGGATGTGTGGTTGGTTCATCTGAGCTTGCCCGGCTGTCAGTTTGGTGTGTCAACAGGGACCCGGACGATGGTGCAATTTCTCGCGTCATTGCGTGAGCGTTGCAGTCGGGCTTCTGCCGAACCGGCGTATTTCAGTGCGGACGCCTTCTGTGGACTTTCTCAACTCCGAGGTTTGCAAAATATCCAGAGTGTAACGTCAAAACATTTGATGATGAGCATTAACCTATCCTCGATATCTACGATTACTGGCCTCATTGAAGCTCGTGCATGGTCCTCGGCGGCGGCGGAGTTGGCAACTCATTTATCTCGTTCCTGGCATCCAGCTCTGCCTTGGGAGTTTCGATCATGCCATGATATCCTTCGGCACTTTGTCCTTTATGATTCCACTCAAACACTTGGGTATGCGCTTCGACGCTTGAGAGTTTCCTGTTGGCGCGGCGCCGACGCCATAGGAAGTAGGCAGCGATGAACATTGCGATGGCGACGAGAGATACGCAGGTGCTGACGGCGATAACAGCTCCGGTAGAAAGCCCAGACGATGGCTCGTTTGTGGGAGAGGCTGGCGAGGAAGTCGGAAGACTCCCGCCTGTCGTCGAGGTTGGTCCGCTAACATCTTTCCACCATTGACGTTAGCCACATGCAGACATAGAAGAGATCTGGGGTATAGTAACTTGTTGCTTCATCTGCTTTGCCAAGCTGGCAGTAAGCATCAAATACTTGCGTTGCGCTCGCGACCTCCGTGCTCAACCGGCCGCAGTTCTTCGCAACAGCAGTGGCAATGATGTTGCTGAATCTGTCCGAGCTTGCGGTGCAGAAACAGCTATAGGATGTTGTTCTGCCTCCGTCACCGCAACCCGAGATCATATCTCTCACGATGGAGCTGATGGGGACTTCGGCGCATGATGGCAGTGCGCTGTAGCCGTCCGCCTGATCAAGATAGTAGACAGCTTCTACATGGGTTAGAAGCCAGAAGCATATTATGCCGATAAGAGAGAGTTGAGACCACATAAGGGGCAGTTTTGAAGGTGCGAGTGAACCTTGATAGATCTGAAAAGTGGTGATGATGTGTTGATCGCCACGCTTGTTGATGAAATGGTGAAGATTTGTTAGGCATAAGGTTTTACGAGAGGACTTCCATACACGTATGTCAAGTGCTCTTATTTCACTCACGATTGCGCATTCGCATGCCGCGCGATGTCTGTGATGGGAGCTGAGCTTAGCTTAAGCCACGCAAGAGACAATCTGACTCACTACAGCTAAAATGGAAAAGCCATCGCAGCTGATCTAGAAGGCTTAGACCTGTCGCTCCTCGACAAAGTCTAAAGTTGACCGTAAGATACTGGAGCATTAGGTCGAGTCTCATCACCTCCTTTTATTTTGGATGTTATCAAGATTATCAATGTCTACGCCCATTAACCAGCTTCTTGTAATGAAGATTTGCAGAATCTCTGGGCATTGGCACACCATGTTGCTACCTTGCAGACTACAAGATTGTTCCAAGTGTGCCCTGCTTCCTGGAGCCAGGCTCTGGAAGTCTCAGACATGGGATATGAAGTCTGCCTATCTAACCCAATGAGAGCACGAAGTGCCAAGGTGCAGCTGTGGAGAGATCCCTGTAATCCACGAGACTAGTAGAGTCAGCCCGCCATCGACGCATCGCCTTAGTGTCTTCAGCCGCAATCAACTCTCCGATACCTAAGGGACATGAATTTCAAACCCGGCGTCCTACACGCGAACGAACCCAGACCCGAATACTTTTACATGTTTGCTGCCAATTTAATAATTATGCGCATGGTAGGTAAAAGTGTTGAGGTGACACCTGATGGACTTCGAGAGAACCAAAGGCCACTTCCCATCGCGAAACGCTTCTGCCGCCTGCCTGACTGCCTTGGTCTCAGTTGCCTAGGGTGGTCCCAATGGGCACATTAGCAAACGCTTTACCCCGTGAAAGGGGCTAAAATGTACCAGTTGCCTGAGACAAACGTAGCCGTAGAATTCACATGCCGAATCGCTGATCGTCTGGAGCTGTATAGAAGTAGTGCAAGACGCTGGTTTGTTTTATTTCACTTGGCCCCTGGCCTCAAAGATATTTACAAGGAATATATGTGCGATGACAATGTTACAAGAATGCGTGTGTCTCTCAAGACTGACAGATGGGTATCACAGAACGGTCCATCGGCCTCGACAGAACCCAGATCATGGCATCGAAGTTGCTTAGACGCACTGAGAGTACCAGTCGTTGACAAACTCGCACTTGCCAGAGGCGCAAGAAGTAGCACCAGAGTAGCCCTGGCCACCGCACTGGCCGTAGAGAGCAACAGAGCCGGAGCCGGAGCCGGAGCTGGCGGCAGCGCTGGTGGCAGCGGCGGCAGGAGCAGCAGCAGAGGTGGCGGCAGGGGTGGTGGCAGCAGCCTCGGCAACGGTGTCAGCAGTTTTGGTGGAGCCAGAAGAGCTGCTGGAAGAGCTGAGCTTGCCGGCACCGGCGTTGTTGGGAACGCTGGTCTTGATGGAGCTGGCAGACTCGGCGGAGGCAATGGAGAAGCCGGAGAACTCGCTGAAGAAGGAGGTGTCCTTGAGCTTGGAGAAGTCGGTGGAGGTGGTGGTGTCGAAGACGTTGACCTCGCAGGCGCGGCCGAGAGCGGTCTTGCACTGAGCGTTGGTGGTGGCGTCGGGGGAGGAGAACAGCTTGCCCTGGTAGTCGGAGACGAGAGCCTTGACGTTGATGAAGGCGTTGCCCTCAAAGATACCGCGGGCCTTGGTGTCACCACCCTCGAGAGCGTGGCCATCGTTGTCGTCCCACACGTTGTTGACGGCGTGGAGGAGAGTGCCACCGCTGAGGGCAGGGCTGCGGCCGGAGGTCTTGTAGATGTAGTTGTTCTTCATGGTGATCTGGTCGTCGGTGCCGACCATCTCGAAGGTCCAGTAGTGGTATCCGTTGCAGCCGGTAGAGTAGTCGGACTCGCCGTTGATGAAGTTGTTGGAGAGAGTGATGCGCTTGCTGGGGTTGAAGCCGAAGACGTAGTGCTGGCGGCCAGGACGGGCAGTCTGTCTCAAGGGTCAGCATCGACACCATGTTATTTACAACCAAGTGGCTTACCGTGACGTGGTCAACCCAGACAAGGTCAGCACCATCGAAGCCGATAGCATCACCACCCCAAACGTACTTGGGGTTCAAGTCGGAGACCTGGATGTTTTGGATGCTTTTGTCTGTTAGTGCACGGAAAGCGTCACGAACGTAGGTTAGCACTTACATGACGTTGCTGCCTCTCATGCGCAGGCCCTTGCCCTTGATAGCGCCCTTGCTGCCAACACCGAGGATGGTCTTGTTGTTGCCGACGTCAATAGGCTGGGTCGGGGCCTTGTACCAAGTCTCGGTCGAAGCAGGGTTGCTGCCGCAGTCGTCCTGGATGATCTTCTGGCAAGCAGCGCCGGTGCCCCAGCTAGCGCAAACATTGCCGGACTCAGTGCCCTCAGACTCGGTGAAGTCGTACTCCTTGGAGAGGAGGATGACACGAGGCTCATCATCAGTGAGATACTCCTTGAGCTCGGTGATATCCGCAGGGGTGACGGCAGTTGCGCTGCCACCACCAGTAACACCAGTAGCAAAGCCTTCAGGCTTGCCAGAGACAGTCTGAGCCGCAACAAGGTTGGCAAGTCCCGCCAAGACCGCCAAGAGAGTGGGAGCCGACTTCATTGTGGAGTTGTCGTGATCGAACCAAGATTAAAAAAGCTGGGTGAAAGGCTGATGTTGGTTCGTAGAAGAAGAATTGGAAATATCGTGGTTGAGTTCCGGAACCCAATGTATGAATGAGAGTTTAGAGTGGCAAGCCAAAGAAACGAGAGACGGTATGAGAGGTGACAACCAAAAGAGACAAAAGTTTGGTAGGAACAGAGTTGCGAAGAGGTTGCCATGTGGGAGCCGAAGCCTCTTGATAAATCCCCCGTGCTCGCGCCTCGATCTATGCCCGCGGATACCGTAGCCGCCACGGGAACGATCTTTTATCTGGAACAGACTACAGCTGTCACTTAATTAAATCCCGTCCTCAATTGGGAACCATACGACAATTACAGGGCTCGTAATTGGGTTCTGCCCCAGCAAACAGTGGAGCGTGCGCCCATCGATCCCCTGCGCAAGCCGCACGCCTGGCCCGAAAGAGCATAAGTATCCTCCTGATCCCGGTGACAGCTACCGTATTTGAGTCCAAAAAACAGGCAAATCTGAAGTGGGCGCGCATTGGGGTCCTTTTCTGCTCAGGGGCAAGTGGTGCTCTGCTGCCCACTCTGGAAAACTCTTCGTTATGGCGGTTGGCCTTCCTATTCAAGTCGAATGCAGCCGCACTTTTAGGAGACCTTGACCTATCAGTGATCAGGGCATTCGGCCTCTCACTTTTTGACTTGAAACGGCATGACGTTGTTGATGCTCTTGGACTTAATTAACAGCCTGTGGCCAATGGCGTCTAGTAGCCACAAAAGGGGGATCAAGCATACTTTGTGAGGTTAAATTAGCACAGTAGAGCAGAGGACCAGCGGGCTCGGGGTCGGTATTACGAGTTAGGTGCGGCCTGCTGTTGGCGCCCCTTGTGGTCGCGGAGTATCGGTCCTACGCCCTAGCACTCGCGCCCAGTAAGACCGCGTGTTATTCTGTGGCTCCTGTATCGCCATTCCACAGCAACGCCTCCGAACATCGAGCCAAGGACGATGATAGAGTCGTCTGTCCCGGACTGGACTGGCTCAAGAAGAAGAAAAAAGGGTCAAAAGTAACGCAACACTCTGGGGTGGAATATCAGACATTTCAGCACACCACACGATATATTCATGAGAATCGTGTCAAGTTACGGGGTGTTGATTGGCTTTTACTTCGGCCTCCGGTACGATCCGCCTGCTGTAAGCCACATAGGATTGCGGGGTGAACAGGGGGATGCATCATCCCCTAGCGTAGATGAGCCGTATTATTTCCCAGAAATTGACATGTCACACAGGCGGATCTATTTCTAACGTTTCCGATCTAGTTTGCGAAAGCGAACACTCCCAACATCTCTAAGATCATCCTATGATGATACTTTTGACGAATTGTTGCTTGCTACTCATTGGCGTCTACAACTCAACGCATCATCAGCCGCGTGCGGTCTGGCTAGTAGAGCGGAACTGGATCTGAAATTCGAACAAGAAAGACTTCTCGGCCTCAACCAAGGGACAAGCTTGCTTTGGCCACTTCTTACACTGATACGTTTAGGTCTTCTTTCGCAGGCATGTTATCCACATACCGACCGCAGTGGTGCGTTACGTAGCTGGAAAACTGTGATGACTTGAGCCATCCGATCAAATTGCGATAAGAATGCAGGATTAATTCTAGGAATTACAGAAGTAATAACGTATGAATTCGTCTCAGGACGAGGGAGTTGAAAACATTCCGATAAGGCTAATTCATGCAGCTATGGCCCTAGTCATAGTGCCACTCATGTGTAGAAAGCCATCATTATTCCTGCGGGACACCACAGTCTTATTCTGTCCGATCAAATCATTGAGGCATGACGTGGGTCTGGACATATTGACTGAGGTTCGCTCATCAGGATTAAAGCTCATTACTTCGTATCGCATTTCACATTCTCGCTACCTGACTTACTTATGAAATTATTAAGAATCCTTGTTCGTGAAAACAGCCGTCTTTACTCAAGAGTCACTTTGCTATTGGAAGTACGAGAGATCACATAACATAATACCAAGAACTTCACCCTTGCCGCTACTACAACAATAACGAAAGCTTCCAGCCACCACAAAGAGAAATCTTTCTTTGATTCTTAGGAGTAAGCGCTACGAGTATGCAAACAATGACAATGCTCTCAAAAGCCAGGCCCCAAGAAGTCTTTTCGTTGGTGCCTATAAGACTGAAAGTGCAATTCCTGTTGAGAACAAGGCGCATGATCTGTCTATATTTCATCGCACCAGTTTGGCCAAGCTTAGCCGCCAGCTTATGTGATGTATCTGAACCCGTTCAAAACAGCTCTCTGTGAGTCTTTGTCGAGCCTGTTCATCGCCTCCTCGTTATATTGGTCCACCTCACTTCGAAGTCTTTCAAACTTGTCGTTCGCCTTCTTAAGACAAATACGAAGGCCGAAGATGCAACACAAACCGAGTACCTGAAAAGCCAAAATACAAGCCCAGGACACACGAAAACTCGGGCCGTATTCATCTAGCCAAAAGTAGTTGGCGAATAACGAAGCACTATTAGCCAGGGTATTTGCAATACCGATAGCAGCAGCTCGTTTGATTGCTGGTTGGACGATGGTCGAGGACAACCAAGGGTAAGTCGTTGAGTAGATGCCAAAGGTCCCGGCGCTGACGAGGAAAGTCATTGCGTAGCGAGCCCAACGTTGATCACCTATAGCGACCAAAGTGATAGTCCCGGCAATGGCAGTAATGGCAGAGATGCTCGCGTGCGGTGATCTTTTCTGTCGTCTGTCGGCGTCCCAAGCCAATGTCAAGGCCCAGATGAAAGAGAAGAAGTACGGAGGTGCTGTCAGAAGAAGAACGATGGTGTTGTTCTTGAAGCCAAGCTGTTGAATCAAGGTTGGGAAGAAGTGCGAGAACGAGATGGAGGCAGTTGTCGACATTTGAAGCAGAGCAAACAACCACACACGGTAGTCCGCCAATGCAGCCCAGATAGCCTGCTTCATCGAGATCTCATCTTCGCCCAAAACTTCTTCACTGCCGGCGTCTGCAGCCAAGCGGCCCTGCGCAATGACCTTTTCCTCCTCTAACAACCATTTTGTGGTGCCCGGGTAGTCGGGAAGAAGGAAAAAAGCAGTTACCCCAACGCAAATTGTAGCAAGGCCTTCGAGGATGAAGAGCCATCTCCATGCAGCGAGGTGTCCCACCCCAGCCATCCCTGAAAGAATCCCAGCTGATATAAGACCGGCAAAGCAGTTCGACAAGAGCAGCCCACAGACCAGTAGGGCCATGCGCAATCCGAGCTCTTTTTTTGTGTACCAGCAACTCAGGTAGTATATGGCTCCCGGGAAGAAGGGGGCTTCGACGATTCCCAAAAAGAACCTAACGACCAGCAAGCCGGCTGGAGAAGACGTGGCACTTGTGCAGCCGCTCACTATGGCCCAGATTATAATGCATCCAGGCTATCGCAAGTTAGTCTCTGTTACACAAGTTATTCCATAGAGGAGTTCTTACCAGGAAGACATGCGGCTGCATCTTGGTCATGAGCATTGTTGATGGCAACTGCATCGCGATGTATCCTGCAGAAAAGATCGAAATGGCGGTTTGATACGTTGCCCCTTTGACGTGGGTGTCTTCTTGAAGACCATAGAGACGCGCTTGGGTAATCGAATTTCGATCAAGATAGTTGAACAGATAAATGATAACAATGAGAGGCAAGAGATGGGCGTCGATTTTCCGAACAAGCTGTCGCTCGGTTTCTCTTGAGAATTCGGGTGAGTAGGACCGGTATGTGTCCATCAGCGTGAGGTTCTTTGTTGGAACATTTTCAATTTCTTCGCTTCCTTGCTTGGAAACCTCGTCCATAGCAGGTTTTGGAACACTGCTCATCGCCATTGCGTCTCTGCAGGGTTGGTTGTCGTCTGAATTGTGTCGATTGCCGAACGAAGCAATGTAGACAAAGCTCTAAAGACAAAACAACTAGAAACATGGGAGACAGGAACGAAAAGGGTCTTTTTGACTTGGCAAATGTTATGGAGTCCCTCGCGCTTCGTCTTCGATCCCACATCACGTTCCCCATACCCCAGACCAAGAATGGCCTCCGGTCCGGAGCCGATCCGAAATCCCCTCATTCCCCATTCTCACCCCAGGTTTTCCCCATGTCTAGTTCTCGACGGTGCCGAACACCCGTGTTGGATTGTGAACAAGCATTTCCATCCATTGCTCTGTCGTGAGCCATTCCTTCAACGCTGCTAGCTCCAAATGCGTATCAACCAGTAGAGGAGGCGTGGGATTAAGACCCCGGACACTTCCATCAATATGAGGCCAATCGCTTCCCCATAGGATGCTCTCAGCCGCACGGTCGGCAAAGGTCTCGATCAGGGGGCGCATCAAGTTGATGTTCGTTGGTGACCGTCTATGCAAGGCTCCTACCTTGACAAAGAACCTCCCAGACTCTAGAAGACGCAGGAAGCTTTGAAACTCTGCGGTACCTACGTCGGAGGGGTTGGCGCAGCCATTGTGGTCGGCAACGATGGAGACGCGCTCAAGGAGTGGTTCTTCTAGTAGTGTAGCTTCCAATGATGACCATGTCGAAAGTGGAAGCTGAGCCGAGATGCTCCAGTCGTGTCGGTGAACAGGACAGTGTCTGGCAACGTCCAGGAACTGCTTCTTGACCCAGTCCAGATCGCCACCCGAGCCCCCGTATGAACCATGAATACGAACAGACCTTACACCAGCGTCGTGGAGTTTATCAAAGTCAGCTGCTGTCAAACCCTGAAGCTCCTGTACTGATTCTGGGTCCCAGAAGATAGTGCCCAATGCCCTTTTGCTGGGATCAGAGTCGCGACACTCATTCAGATTTCCAATCAGGCCACGGTACCCATCTTCTATGGTCGCCTGGACCAACATGAGCTGATCCGTGAAAGAGTTTTGGATGAGTGCATTGACCCTAGCAGGTTCGGGGGTGTAAGCGCGAGTTGCTTTGAAAGGGTACTTTTCTGGGTCGAAGCAGTGCGTGTGACAGTTCCATGCCAACGGAGGGAGCTGTATCGGTGTCATGACAGAGTTCGTCTCCTCTAGCTTTAGCTTGAAAATGGTGTAAAAGAAAGCTCACAATAATCCAAATGACCTTTCTCTCGCTGTTTCATTTCAGAGGACTTCCCCGTCTGTTCTATGTAGGGGCTTGCTGCGCGTACTAGCAGGCTCTCGCTCGGACAAGTTCCGCTTCCAAAACCAGCCTCCGGAGGGGGTCCGAGTCAACCGGAACGGGGCCGATGGAGTTGAGATTAGGGAGAACAGACACAGCACCATTTCGAACCAAGGTACACACTTTACTGTAGGACTTAGTGCCAGACTTTCAGAATTTCCAACTGGTCGAAGATAGGCTAGCCTCTCCCTTTCTACAGATGCTGTTGGGATTCTGTGAACACATGCATGCATGACTGGGCTCAATGAAACTTCAGTCGTAAAGCACAACTTGGACAACCACTCAAATAACACCAATCTACGAGCTCGCAGGAGGTCTCGATTGGATATGATAGCCGCAAAGGGAGTTGCGTCTGTAACTCAAAACTGACTGCAGTTTCCACACGAGACGAGAGCTTTTTTGTTGCCAAAGACTGCCACAACAACAGCTGAGAGCATCTTCATTCTGCTCTGTGGCAAAGCCTGATCACGACCGGAGACAATCATCTGCTGCGAAAGCAAGACATAAAACAGCCTTTTCAAGGCCGCAATCGCAATGATCTCAGCGACAAAACATCCCATGCGTGACCCCAAGATGCGGAGTTCAGTGGGTCACAGCGCGGGGAAATCGAGGGATCATTGCGGCTTGGACCTTTCGTGGCTTGGCATTATGTATTCAACCTTGAGGACCGAGAAAAAAAAACGCGTATCTGTTCGAGAATCTCTCTTCAGCACTACCCCTCCACACGCAACGGAATCTCTGCCCCTTTATGAGTTGTTGCATTGCATTTTGTGTAACATCTTTGCAGACCAGCTATCAAGCCCCTGGCGTTTGAACCCCGCACCCCGCATCAACGAGACACAATGGCTGGCGACAGCGCGGGGCCGCAGGAACCCCTCATCGAAGTCATCACACAAGCCGAAGACTTCCACCAGGCCGCTGAGGCTGCCATCAACGCCTTCTGCCACCAAGCGCGCGATGGTGTCTACATGGGCATGAACCCAGGCTGGGACACGCCCGAAGGTGTTGCCGCCAGCGCCGAGCGCATGGCTGCTCGCTGGCGTTCAGTCACGACCAACAAGCAGGGTCAGCCGAACACTGTCTTCCTCAAGGCTACGGTTCCGGACCCCGAGAACCCCGGACAACGCAGGGTCGCTGGTATGGCCATTTGGTTGCAGGCTTCGGCTGTCGAGGGCTACGGCGAGCCGAGCCCGACGGACTTAAAGAAGAGCCTCGGAGTCGAGGCGCTCTACCCGAACAACGAGACTGAGCAGCGATACTTGGCTCAGTGCATCGGTTCCCTTCATCGGCGCCGCACCGAGGTCATCAAGCAAAAAGCGACGGCGAACCCTCCGGCCGTTTTTGCGCTGGATTTGTGCGCCGTAGACCCGAAATTCCAAGGAAGGGGCGCTGCCAAGAAGTTGGTGCTGTGGGGTCTGGAGGAGGCCAAGCGACGGGGCGGACTTGAGGCCATTCTCGAGGGTTCCAGCATGGGGAGACATGTCTATTCGAAATTGGGCTTCAAACAAGAGGGACCGGAGATTGAGTACCATGTTGATGATTTCCCCGAGCGCAGCAGACCTTCAAACATCTTCATGCGAACTGGCGATATCGAGTCAGCTTGATATTGCCGGTGAACGGGGCGCAAGCATTACAGATAAACTTTGGGGTCTCATAGGAACTACTATAAACAGCCACATAGCTACGCGACAAACACCAAATAAGGAACATATTAGAAGGTCGTGATATCATTATGAAGAACTAATAGTACAACTATTGGGAACATGCCGTCGATATCCATAGGTTCGCCGGAAGTTCAGACCATGATGGTACTTGAAGCTAAACAGCGTTCGAAGTGGGCTCGGTCTTAGTGTGGTGGTGCTCAGAGTAAGGCCTCTCGTCGCCCGATTTCTCCTTGTGCTGGCCGTCTCCAACAGCAGTTGCCTCCGTGGTCGTAGAAGCGCGGTGAAAAGCAGACTCGTCCTTCTGCTTGCGGGTAATGTAACCTGGAGGCACCCACTTGCTCGAAGAATAAGGCTTGACATTCGGATCGCTGTACATGCGGTCGACGTTCTCGAGAGAAAGACCCTTTGACTCGTACAAGAAGAACCAAACCAGCAGAGCGGCTGCGAGGTTGCAACCAGCGAAGACAAAGCCGTATGCATACGAGATGCCGTCATCCGCGAGAGGCGTAAGGAATGAGATAAGGAAATTGCCAAACCAGTTGCCAGCCGTTGCCAGCGATGCTTGCTTTGCTCTGGTTCTCAGAGGGAACAGTTCTCCGATAACGCACCAGGCCATAGGTCCCCATGTCTAAGTATGATGAGTTAGTATGATCTTTACCAGTCGGTGGTATCAGAGCGGGGAATACTTACGCCTGCAAAAGAGGCAATGAACATGCACGCAGATACAATCATAACGATACCAGTGGTGCGGCTTGTGTCGGGGGGCACAGCTGTACCAACAGACGCGAAGACCGCAAGCCAAGCAGCTTGCCACAGGGCACCGATGAACAATGGCCAACGTCTTCCGTACTTTTCGACAACATACAGGCCGTAAAAGGTGAGAGCCACATTTACAGCTCCGAGAATGAGCTGTGTCATGATTGGGTCCTCGATACCGGCAGATTCGAAAATCGTGGCTCCATAGTAGAACTAAATACCAAATTAGATACAACGCTAAGCGCAATTATATAGATATAGATACTCACGAAGTAATTTACCCCAGTCCATTGTTGCAGGAAGTGGATGAGTATTCCTAAAAAGGTGCGGTATACGGTCTTGGGTATTCCGGAGGACCCGGTGAAGCACTCGGCCCACGTTCCAGTTCCGGTCTTAGACTCTTCTTCCAGGACCTTGAACATTTCCTGAAGATCGTTCTCGACGAGCTCATTGTTGGGGTCGCTCTTCATTCCACGAAGACGTGCCATGGCCAAGCGTGCGCCTTCCCAGTCGTGCCTGCCAGCCAGCCAACGAGGAGACTCGGGGACCACAAGAATGCCAAGTCCCAGAGGGCAGGCAAACGCGATGCCGAGACCGATAACTATGCGCCATGAAGCGTCTGACTCTTGAATGTTTCGGACACCGAAGTTGATCAAGTTGGAAATCAGTATGCCGAAAGTGATCATGAGCTGGTAGGATGCGACGACGGCGCCTCGGATCTCTTTGGGTGAGCACTCGGACTGGAACATGGGTACACCGACAGAGAGGTTACCGACGCCCAAACCAGCGACAAACCTGCCCATCATCATGTGAACCCAACTATTCATGGCGGTGATTTGAATGATGTTTCCGATGATGAATACACAGACTCCGAAACTAAGGCTTCGTCGTCGACCCCACCAATCGGCCGTGTACGCTCCCGACAGAGCACCAAGCAGTGTGCCAATGCTCATGAGCGAGACCATGAGGGACTGAGTGATAGAAATCCATGTTGGAATCCCGTTCTCTTCAGGGCCAGTTGCGAATCGTTTCCTGAAGTCTGTGAAGAGCAGCATGCCAGAGATCTGGCCAGTGTCGTAGCCGAAGAGGAACCCGCCTATGGACGTTACGACTCCGAGCACGAGTGCTTCGACACCGCAGTCGGCGCCATTGACGCGTATCGATCTAATTCCAAAGTTAGTGATAAAATACTAGAAACAAAACATCGGCAGATTGATGTACTTACTGCTTCCCCAGACCCATGATTGTGATGCGCTTTCGGGATGTGTTCCGAAGTCAAAGAATTGCTTGCCGCAATAGTGTGATGCTGAAGCAGTAGAGACCCCTAACCCTCAGGGTGACAGCATGTGACGAGAAAATGGACGGCCCAGATGTTTGGGTAAGGTTGCTGTCAAAAGCAATAGGATTCAAATAGTTCAACCCGTATGACGTCTGTGTGTCTCCGACGCACCATGATGACTTTATACGCAGCCACATCCTGCAGTGTCGCAAAAACGGTCAATTGTGGTCGCCTGACAGAAAAAGCGACGGGAACGCTACCATGACGTTGCCCAGACGTTGTCCGACTCGTAGTCGGTCCTACCTGCTCTCGCAACTGGGGCGCAGACCGGGGAGCTCGAGAAGGCCAAGAAGGTGTGGGAGGACCGGGGGTGGGATGCGGAGCGGAGTGCGGGATGAAGGTACGGAGTACGTCCTGTCTCCCTTTTCTTCCGTGGGCGTGATCCAGAAGAAACGCCACGCGACAGGCCGAGAAAGCCTAACATCCATAATCTGGGGAAAAGCGCTACATTCCACGGCGGCGGATACAGCCAACAAGTGAGCAGACGCGATGGATGTGACACCCAAACGTCGGGCAACCGTGCAGGCATATCGACAGAACTGTGATCAAACATACAGGCCAGGCAAAACACCTGTTCATCAGAATGATTCTGGCAGCATGCGGTTGGGTGACTTACTTTGGTAGGAGTGCGGCTTGGAGATCGGCCGCTTGGCTCTCGTCATTGCCGGCCGCACCGCAGGGATACGCGAGCCATGGCACACGGAATCGACGCGCGAAGCCAAGACAGCCACCATGCTGCCAAGGCGGAGTCGCGGTGAACGATCAGATTCCACACGGTCGCGTTGCCAGGATTCGGTGGAAATCCTCTTCCAATTCTGAGTGTCTATCCGTACAGGGCGCTTGCGCTCCTACGCTCTTGGCCTTTTGCAAGCGGCTCCGGCACCGTGGGCCGAGTGTGGAATACCACGTCTCGGGATGAGCGACTGGAGTGATGCCATGACGATCGCGAGACCCTCACGTGCGAGTCAGCTAACGGTGCGACCAGACTGGTTGCATTCTGATTGGAAAGCCGAACGTGCCCTGAAGCCTTACTGGCGTCTTAGCATATCCCGAGGCGGACTTGCTTACGCATTCCACCAAACAAGACTCGACCATGCAGATATCCAAGACTATGGACTGCTAGTTTACGTTAGGAAAAAACCCGTGGTGAACTGATTTACATCGATGGTCCGTTTCGATGTTTCCATAACTGATTGAAAGACACTACCACTTGCTGAAGTGGTGGGGGGCCACTACCAGTGGAATCTTTAAGGCATTAACTCCAGATCCTACAGGCTCGCCTGCATATCATTTTTACTTGGCGAGCCGCAAATTTCCCCAAAACTCTCGATGGCAGGAAGTGCTGCGTCTCCGACTTTCCACTCCGGAGGCCCCGGACTCCTCCGCTAGTACGCCGGAGTTGTGTCCGGGGCCCCAGACATCATGCCCCGTTCTCCGCAGAATGAGATTAAAGATGAGCATAACGGTCCGATTGCGAAAGGGGCTCGCTTTTCTGGTCGCTGAAAACAACGGTCCGATTGACCTGGTTTTTGGTGGAGACCCCAAGGTATTAAATGGAGCTTTAATGGCTTGGCTTCTTGGTTTTACACGTGTACAATAAGCATCTAATAACCATTCCTGAACTCTATGGATATTCTACAATGCGCTGTTTGGTCTTGAAGGGACGTTGGAGGTTCTCGGTAGTGCCTACATCTTCCAACCCGCATCAACAACATTCAACTCCTGAGACTGCTGTGTCCTGTTTTCTTCACAAACTTCAGCTGAAGGGAGCACTACTGCTGGCACCAGATGAGAGTTTTCCCAGAATGCTGCTGTAATGTGAAGCAAACCTTAGGCTTTTTGCGCTGGCATCAGGAAATCCGGGTCACGTTGCTCACTTGCACCCCTTGCACCCCTTCCAGCAGCATCATCGAATAGGTTCTTTCGTTACTGCAGCCACTTTGCCGTCCATGCTAAGAGTTCCGCAGTAGTTCATATGGCTAAATTGAATCTCTTGCTTGCTTCGGGTTCCTGACTTGGTCTTCGTAAAAGGATGTAGCAGAGAGAGGGTCTAACTTCTGAGGCTCATCGCGATGCCAATGGATCGAAAATTGACATCACACGCACTGGAATTTGTCTTCTACTTCTAGTTGGGTTAGGTAAAAGGTGCGTTGAAAGTACCGATGCTGCTGCTTACCCTAGGTTGGCTGATAGCTGTGTGGGTTGGGTAGACCTGGTTATGATAGAATCTTTCTTCGGTAGTATGGATGTGGCCATTCAAACAAAACATTGTACGGTCACCCGATGAGTGTTCCGCGATCACATCGCTTCGAATATTCCGCCGGACAAAGCACAAAGAATTTAGGAACGCCTTGTTTCTAAACACATTGGAAAGCATTGTGCTTCGTGACAATGGCAAGGCGATGATAGTTTAGAGATAGACCACAGAGTTTCCTTTGCCTTTGAACAATTATTTCACCATCCTTCAGGTATGCCATTCCATGTCATGCCACGGAGCAAATTAAAGCAAGACGGCCGCCACCAAGTCCCGACTTTTCGAGAAGTGTCAAACACAACTTCAAACTAAGTAGACACCCATTCCCGAAAGCGTGCCTCACAATCTTGCGGAATTCCGACTCGAGGAAAGAACTATTTGAGCTCGAAGTACGCACTAGGTAGGGCCGGTTTTAGTTCATCCAGCCGCCGGGTGTTTCACCAGCATCTAAAGCAGTACCTTTTCCAAAGCCACACCTTCGACAGAACCGCATACCAGCTCTGGAGATGTCGAGAGAAGGCGATAGTTTCGATGCAGCCCTGCCGCTGTTTAAGCTGTATTTTGGCGAAGAGCTGGTCGACTACTTTCTTTCAGATGTCAGATATCTGCGAAAGGAAACTGACATTATGAGGCAAATGTATATATCTGCAGCCCAGCCTCTGTACTCGCTACGAATGAAAGTTGCCGCCAAAGCCGCGCAAGCCAAACTTGGAAAACTCCGAACACAGCCGACGTTGATGAAGAGGGCTGGGAGAAAGGTAAAGCGCTGGGCAAATGGATCTAGTATCCTTTCATGGTGGCGGCATTTCAACAGACACGCACGAGACACCCCTGCAAGTAAGCTTGCCAGGGCTGAGCTATTTTGCAAACTATTTCCAGAACTCGACTGGAAAGCTGGTTCAAGACGTGAACCATGGTTTTACCTCTTTCTTCACACTCATGTTTACGCCTTGAAGGCCGGAACCACACGGTCAAACGAAATCGTCGATGAACCACTGCGGTGGTGCTTCCGGGCCGACTACCTCGTTGCGAACATTATTCGTCTACGAGATAGGGTTTGCCAAAGTTGCCTGACCTTTTCTTTCCAGGCATGGATGTGCCATGGCTCAGAGCCCTGGCAGTTGTATCCCAGCAAAACGGCTGCATTCGCTGATCTGATAGGTCGTTTTCGAGCCACTTCCATTTTCCCTCAGTCCGGCATGGTGTATGAGAAAGATTTAGGAACAGGTGAGCGTCAGCCAGCATCCTTCGAGATAAGACTCCGACCCATGCGGTTCCTCGCGGCTGAAATGATGGATGCTTGCATACCACCTGCCGACTGGGACGAGATGTTGATTGAGATGCAACAACTTATTACTAGACTAGGAAGTTCTCACAAGAACAGCAAGATCTGTGCGATGAGAGACCTTCTGTAGCGATAATGCATAGAAAGCTTCGGAAGGAATCAAGTGCGCAAAATTGTCTTAAGTGGCAGCAAGATGTAGGAATGGGAAAAACAAGTGGAAAGAATATGAAGATTACGACCGTATATTTGGTTTGGCCAGGCATGGATGTGATATCTAAACTAATATGATTATTGTAGGATAGAAGCATCCAACATTAATCTATCTCTTAGTAGGTTCCAGACATGACAGAAAGGCGACCACCGTCGGTGAGGAGAATTGAACCGTTAGAATAGCTTCCTGCTCGACTTGCGAGGTACAGAATGGCGCCGCTCATTTCCTCATCGCCACCAAATCTCTGAGCCGGGATGAACTTGTCATCACTAGGGGTCTCGTCCTCTGGTTTTCTGTCACCAATGATTGAAGCAGCCATATCGGATGGATACACTACGACGGTCAGGTATCATTTCCCTTTGACTTTGGCGGCTCTCAAGTCACAGGAAATGGGGAAAATGACTTACATCCTGGGGCGAGTGCATTGACGCGAATGCCAAACTTGGCTAGCTGGGTGCTGGAGTGCTTGGTGACATGCATGATCGCAACTTTGCTCGTCGTGTAAGGAGGCGTTGAGACCCGATGACGACTGAAGGCTGAAATGCTAGACGTGAAGATGACCTGGCTCTGGACAGTCGGGACTTTCCCACCAGGAACGGGCTTGCCAAAACCACCCTTGAGCGCATTCTTGTTGCCAGCGTCAAGCAGCTCAAGGAAAGCGGTCATCGTGAAGTAGGCGCCAGTCACGTTGATGTTCAACACATCGTTCATGTCTTGCATGTTGAAGTTGTCGAACATTGTCTTGCGCGTCTCCGAAATATTATCGTCCGGATTGAAACGGACCGGAGGGCCCAGAACACCAGAGTTCGCAATCACAAGATTGACGTAGCCGACCTCCGTGGTGACCTGGTCGACAGCGGCTTGGAGGTCACTCTTGGAACTGACGTCGCATTGAATCGGGACAAAGGCTGCATTGTCCTTGGCTGCTGCCTGGAGAACATCCAGGCGGCGACCTAGGATGTAGACCTTCTGGGCTCCGTTGGCAGCCAGTGCCTTCGCCATGGTCAGACCGATACCTGTGATGATGATTCAATAAGGGGCTGCGGGGGTTGTGGCTGAGGTGGCTGGGACTCACCACTGCCTCCGCCAGTGATGACGGCGACCATGCCATCAACGCGAAAAAGGGTGCTGGAATCCATTGCTGCCGGTGTTCCGATGGGGATGTTGAGATGATTTCTGTTCTGTGTTCCTTTGTTGACTGCATGCTCAAAGCCGAGAATCATTGGCAGTTATATACCCGTTCCCCCTCATCCCAACAAGCTAATCATTGAAACGGACGTTTCCCAGGTACCCAAAGCCACATGTTCAAGACAATGGCCGGACTTCAGCTGCAGACTAGGTTACACAGGATCAAGAGGCGATTGACCAATCAAAATTTTGGCCTCTGGATCGATCTTACATCAGAACCTTAGCGGCGGCTGCAAGCTCCGACGACGGCCGACCGCGGCGCCGCTGCAATTGGTTAGACCAGCGGTTACAAATCAAGCCAGCAGTTTAGAGCATATGATGTGAATCCATCACTCCTTTTTGCATCACGAATAACTTCTCGATGCATGGGCCAAGCTCGATCGATCAAGGTAAGAGATGTCCTCAGCACTGCCTCTGATCATGGCGGCCGACAGCGGCCTATGCAGAGCTGTCTTCGCCGCCCAGGTATGCTTGAATTGCAAAGCTCGGAAAAAGAAATGTGACAAATTGCTACCCAGTTGTGGATATTGCGGAAGGTAAGCTCGATCGACATTCTAGCTTTCCAAGTTCTAACGCGCCGCAAAGGAAAGGGCTGAGATGCCGTTATGCCCGTCGAGCGCCATCCCCAGCCCGCAAGTCAAAGCTTGCCGAGGCGCACTGCAACCGCAACTCAGCGAATGTGATCCTCACGGATATTCCATCTTCGGAATCTGACTTGTTCGCGCGAATCCAAGGCCTGATACGAGACACTGGTCAATATCTGGACGGGATCAGCGTGCGCTATTTCGAGGGCTTCCATCAGTATCTGCCATTCATCTCCAGATCTCATTTTGAAGATAGCCTGATATTTTCAGGGGTGTATCCACCTGCAGAATTCTCAGTTCTTCTTTTGAGTATGTGCTTGGTCACATCTACGCCAAGGTTGGGGAAACGCGTCAGCCATAGTCTCTCCGGCAAGCCTATTGACCTTGAGAGCCTCTACTTGGTTACGAAATCACTCCTGGCCCAGGTCCAAAGTCTTAATCCCCGCTCACTTCGCTTGATCCAGTCAATACTTCTGGTATCTGTATATGAGTATGCAGATGGGCGTCCAGATCAAGCATGTGCGACCCTAGCTGGCTGTGCTCGACTAGCATATGCTGCGCGTCTTCATCAGTGCCAGCCCCAAGCGTCATTGATATCAACTGAGCTTATGTCAACTATCCATGCAAGTCATCAAAACACTGGCCATCCTGAAGAATCTCAAGAAACTTTCAACACATGGTGGGCGCTTGTTATTTGCGAGCGGTAAGTTTTAGTATATCTCGGAGTGCCGTACTTGCTGACTTCGAGGCCCGTGTAGATTAATCCTTTGTGAGGTGACAGTAGATGGGCAGCCGCTTGTCACTCTCATGCCTGAAGATGATAGCAGACTTCCAGTGGAGACCCGTTGTGGTAGTTTGCCCGATGTCGAACCGCATTCCATAGTATCGGATTTGTTTGTGAACAACATTGAGGGTTTCGGTCGAGCTGCCCAAGCCACATGGCTGGTGGACAAGGTTCTTGTCGCTTTCAAAGTATCCAATACAACTTCTCGTCTGAATCAGCTTCGGGACATTGACGCAATATCTCAAGAGTTCCTTGGTCAGCTTCTACAACAACATCCAGGAAGCGGGGGTATCATGTGCGAAGCCATTTCAATCATTTTGAGGTAAGCACTGAAAATTGACTTGGCCTGCGAGTTTTCACCTACTGAAAGAGAGAATAGGATGTTGTTCAAATTGCATGACCACATACTCCATCAAACCCTCAACGACTGTAATGGCGATGGAAAAGTGCCCGAGACTTGGCGGATGCAATCACGCGCTGCACTTCGTGCTGCGACGAAGATGGTTGTCGAAATTGCTCAGGCACATGAGAATGCGAGCTCGTCTGCGTTCTCCTTCTTCACTATAGCCCCGAGCTACACGCACCTTCTTCGAGCCGGCCTTAAGAATATTCAACAACAGATTGACGAGAGAAAAAGCGCTTGGCTAGAAAGTGCAGAGGGGCGTCTTCGCTCTGAGTTAGGTAGATTTGAGACCCAGGTAATCTAGTGAATTAGCAGCCGGGAGGGTGCTAGTGGTCTGGATACAATGTCTCTTTATACAGGTTCCAAAAGAACGAAACTTGCTGATCACAAGTGAGTCATGTAAACCATAAGAAAAGGATTTATAGCAGAATTGAGAAGTCTATCTATGTTACAAGATCTTTCTATCTATTGACCTGTTTTGCTATGATTCCCTCTAGTAGATACCCCAATCTCCATTCAGCTTCAACTCGGGCGTGTTAATTCCCTGCTTCTCCTTCTCAAGTTCTTCCTGCATAGACCACGGCTCCCACTTGTGCCCTTCAGGAAGGTTCGTGTGTTCAAACGGCGCACCGTTTTCCAGGTGAGCGAGCGCTTCCGCAAACTTTTTGGTCGCGTATTCTTCGGCGTTGTGCGTCCAGATCCATTTACCAAGACCCATTGGTCCACCAGGGGGTGCGTGCTTCATGACTTCCTCCATGCCTCCAAAGCGATGCATCTCGCGCCTGTTTTCATGACCCAGGCGTTGCAGGATTGATGCGCGGCGAAGGCTGGTATCACAGTGTCAGTCATTATCACCAGATACCAAAAGATTATAGTAAGACACATACCGTAAGAGTTCATGAATCTTGGTCCCGATGTCAACATTGGCCTTTCCTGCCAGCCGAAGACATTCGGGCAGCGACTGGGCATCTTCCAGTGCAGTAGTGGCCCCGGAGGTAGAAGACGGAATGAAGGCGTGAGCACTATCTCCAAGCTGTATGATACGTCCACCAGGGGATGTCCACTTAGTCTGAGGGTCTCGCCAGCACAACTTCCACTTCACGATGCTATCCTCGGGAATGTTTTGGATGGCCTCAATGATCAAGGGGTCCCAATGCTCTGTGTCGGAAGTTTTGGGAAGCTGCTTGATAAAGTCCTCACTTGTGATAGTCTGAGACCAAGACTCTTGTGCCGTGCCATCATCCTGGAAATAAGATCAGCCTGTTTGCCTACATGGAGTTTTGGGGATATAAGGATAGCTTACTGGCATCGTGACGCCGACAACTATGCCGTCACTGGCAGCCGTCACAACACAGTGGAAAGTATCGCTGGGGCGTTGAAAATATCAGGTCAACTTCATCCTTCGTCCCAAACACACAGACTGCTTACCCTGAATAGGCTCTCATGTCAGGCCTCTTGAGTGCCGCGAGCTTTTGATGCAGAGCAGCGTTCTTCTCTGGGTCCAGACGGTAGAAGATGCGGCAGATGACAAAACCTGTCGACACAGCCCGGATCACCTCGCCCATGACGGCTTTGTGCGACTTGGTGCCCAGGCCATCAGCAGCAACGACAACATCCGCTGTGAATGTACGTCCATCATCAGCGACAGCGGTCGCGAGCCCGCCATTGGAGTCTTCTGTGTAGTCAACGATGTTCACGCCGAATGTTACGGGGATGCCTAGACGTCGACATTGCTGATAAAAGATCTCGTTCAGCCCTGGACGGCTGACCATGCCTCTCACTCTCAGGGGCCAGGCGGCGTGGTGCGGAACATCGGATCGATTGTACTCGAATTCTTGTGGCGGCGCAATGAGGCTACCATCAAGCCTGCGGAAGGAGCAGAAGTTGTCCCATGAGTGATCGTGGTAGTCCTTCAGCAGGGTTGGGTAGTATTTCAACGTGGTCCATGCTGAAGGTCCAATGAATAATACGTCGCCTTAACGTAAGAAAGTTAGCACGGAAAGTTGAACCGCCGGTGACTTAAAAACTGACCGATTGTCGAGTTCTGCTCGCTCTTCTCTAGAATGCTGACGTTGTGTCCCTTTCTCCAACACTCAAGGGCCGTCAAGTAGCCTGCTGGGCCACCTCCGACGACCAGAACATTGATCCCGGTAGAAGGCCATTGTAGAACCCCATCAACAACAACACTTTCGTGAGCTGGTTCGGGGGCGTCAAAACTTTTCACAGTCATGGTAGATAAGAAGGAGTTAGGAATGCCGGTGTAGAAAACGAGAGGTCGTGATCAATAGCAGGCGCTGCGTGGGACTTATATGTCTCATAACCCTGTCCCTTCTGTCTATCTCCGGCTTATCGATCTTCCCTAGCAAGCTGGACCACGTTGATGCCATCGCCGGTCTTGTGGGGCGGGCCACGGTGGAGGTGGGCCTTGCACGGCGTGGACAATTGGATTGAGACCGAATCGGTTCGGGGCGTAATAAGGTGCCGACGATCTTCGAATTTCGGGAACACTATGTCGCTTTAGGAAATACCGCAGACAAAATAACGGGCATCGGCGCCAAGAGTCATTTGAATGCCTGTATTTCGCGCCGTTTTCCATGGCATTTCTGGCGCTTTAGGTAAAATTAGGAGTCATGTGTTCTTGGGATTGGGTGCAATGGTTCAACTGGAGTTCCGCGATATCGGGACCGACAGCTGCCAACTGAAGAGCCGCCCTTGTCATCCCGAACCTTAAGCTACCAGTAATTAAGCCCACGTTACCCAGTTCATCAGGCAGGGGCTCCACTGCTCAAGCTTTCCATCTCCCCTCGAAATACTGGTCGTTCCCATGAAGAAGCTCGCGCGGTACTTTTCACACTTCTAGTCTTCTTGGTTCGGAAAGATGTCAGATAATTACAGGACGACTTTCTCCACACATGCCAGCCCTGATCTCATCACAGGCTGAAAAGTGGATCATCAACAAAGCGGAAATGCTCAGTCATATTGGCAACAGTTTCCGCTCGTTGGACATAAGGCAATGAACTTGTTCTCAATATCAGAGGTCTTCGCAGTATTAGGCAAGGTATACTTTGGAACGAGTTGAGAGTTCTGTCCGGTCCTCACGCGCATCTGATGCATGCCTTGTACCATCTGCAGGGGTAGGTCTGTCAAGCAAGACGATACCTCCCCCATGCACTTGAAACAGGCTTGAAGTGAGTGGGAGCTACAAGCTATCATCTCGAATAAGTATTTCCAACAATGGAATGTCTTTCGCAATTCTAAAGTCTCTGACGCCTGCTCTGTTCCCCCTAAAATGCCCACCCAGTCACCTGGGGGGGTTAAGTCGAGTATCTAGAAGAGCATCTTTACTAATGAAGAAGAAATTCCAACGAAAATAAGTCATTCAATTGCGCGTCATACAGAGTACTGTTACCGATCATTCGCAAAACATTTGACAATAACCAGAAACTCGTTGAGAAACGGTGAGTGGCATTCGCGAAAGCAATGCCAGGTGTCTTTCCTTTTAGACCGCCTAGTACTTTTTGATGTAATCAGGCAAAGTGATAGCAAATAAATCAAGCTTTTGGTATCTCTATTTGAGGTCTGTATCCCCATCTTGAAAGCTGGCCTCCGAGACCTGATGCGGTCTGCTATTCGATGGACCTCAAGCGAGCCTGCGGTAACCTGGCCACGAGCAACCACGGTAATCATTCAGCCATCTATATATCCGTCTACTCTAGGTGCTACACCTTCAATTCTGGCATCCTGATACATCGGAAATGAGTGTAATTAAAGATAGCGAAAATCAACAGTAAGAAAAAAGAAATTTGCTCCACCACCCATGGCACTTTCAGTGTAATATAGCCATATGCTACGTACTCTTAACTGTAAACGGATGCAAGTATTCATAGAAGATATATGTTCTCCCCGGTAGATCATCACACCTATGTCTAAGGTTCACGCGATTAACCCTGTGACGTGTCATATGCGTGGGAACAGGTGAGAACTGATATTGACTCGTTTGCCAGTTTATTCTGACGCCCACATACAACAGTGTGACGCTTCTGGGGAATGTTGCATTCTTCAATGGTATTGCTCTCCGCTAGGTTAACTAGGAATTTCCTCACCAATACGGCGAGGAGTGCATGGCGACAGATCAACCTCGCCTGGAGGCTGCACACCGACATGATGACCACCACAAGCTGGCTGGGATTGATCGCTAGATCTTTCGCAATAACTAAGATTACACTTCGCTCGAAAGTTTATGATGAGTTTCGTTGGTTTATGTGCGTTCGATCTCTCTCTCTCTCTCAACCATTTTGACATAATGAATGATGGGCCAAAGAGTACTTAGCTACTGGGCGAGGCGGATTCTCGAGGGATCACGGGCGCGACAGACACGTTCAGAAGAGTCAGTTAGCTCGAACGCGCAAAATATTCACAGCCTTCAAAGCTGAACACGACACCTTACTAAGAAAATCATCTCACTTAGGCGGGCTCGGAAGGAGCCGAGATCAGTCTTCAATAAGGTCAAGGCGGTGCCCCGAACCTTGACCATAGTTGTTGTGGCTGTGTCAATGCATAACATCGAGCTTAAATTCAGCCTGAACTTTTCCGATCTGCTGTTGCTTTAGTATGAGAACTGCAACGGTCTTTGCATCTGAAGTCGGGGTCAAAGGGACAGCATTGAGCACTCGGCAACATGCCGACTGTTGTATCTCGCTTCCAGGTTAGCCCAATCAGAAATGAGCAGAAGTTCATAGCGCAAGCGTCAATTGGCTCTGCCAATCCGAATGATCGAGTAACGTTGGTTGGCCATTGATGAGCTCAAACCCCTCACTCAAGATCCTGGACACTCACGTCACAGTGGAGACATCGACATGATCAAGGGCCACGGCGTGAGCTTCGTGCGCTTCAAAGCAATTTCTTCTGAGCGCTGGTCTATCATTGGATATGTCTAGACTTTCCGAACTCGAGTACTCTTATTGAGACTCTTCAAAGACCTCTTGGCCTGTTTTAACTGATTCAAAAAATGACCGCTCTTTCACACAAAGTGTATCCATCAAAGTATATCCCAAACGCCGTGCCTCTGGCAACATGATTGTGTCCCAGGGCGGAATGCCTAGCCCATCTGATATCATACCCAGTCGTAATGTGACAACTTTGGTTGTCTACCACTTGATGACCCTGGAGGGGAAGTACTCATCGATGAGCTCCATGTAGTAGGGCTGTATGTGTGTTAGTGTGTGATGCATATAAGAGATGAGACTTTGGAAACGTACCTTGAGCTCCTCGACGGAGGGAGCATCATCGCTCTTGCTGTACAAGTCGTAGGGGTTGAAGGCAAGGACGGCCTTGAGGAGCTCCTCATCGCCCTCCTTCATGAACTCGCGGTAGGCGCCCTCACGGTGCCAGGGGTAGAAGGAGTGGTAGCGGATCATGGCAAGAGCCTCGCGGGGGAGCTTGGACTGCTCCTTGCAGACGGTGTACATGTACTCGTCGTGGCCCCAAGAGATCATGAGGTTCTCGATGCCGCAGCCGGGCTTGTAGATGCCGTGCTTGGTGCTGTAGACGGGGTGGTGGATGTCAGGGTTGCCCTCGAAGGTGGTGGGGAGGACAATGCGGTTGTCGAAAGCGCAGCCGACGGGGAAGGTGTCACCGACGACGTCCCACTGGCCCTCGGCGCCGTAGAAGAAGAGGAGCTTGCCGAGGTCGTGGATCAGGCCGGTGAGCTGCATCCAGCGGGGCTTGCCGTCGCGGCGCATGGCCTCGGCGGTCTGCAGCAGGTGCTGGATCTGGGAGAGCTCGGTGTCGGGGTCGGAGTTGTCGATGAGGGTGTTGAGCTTCTCCATGGCCTCCCAGATGGTCATCTCGTCGCGGCAGGGCTTCTTGCCGGTAACATCGATAGCAAACTTCTCGCGGGCAGCGAGGTTGTACTCGACGGTCTGCTTCTCATGCTGCTCCTTGTAGAAGTTCTTGACGCGGTCGCAGGCGTCCTCGTACTGGCGGAAGGCGGTCTTGTCCTTCTCGGAGTCGAACTTGGAGTCCTCGTAGGTGGTGTCGTCGGACTGCTTGTTGAGCTGGTCCTTGAGGATGTTGACCTCCTCGACGAAGTCGGTGGTCTCCTCCAAGTCGTGGCCGTTGGTGGGCCTGACGAATGGCTGAGCGACGGCAGCGGCCATTGTGAATGATGTGAAAGAAGATGGAAAGTTGACTAGAAAATGTAGTACACTGAAGATGAAGAAGATTTGGGTTTCCTCTCAAATGGTATCACTGAAGATGAGAAGACTGGATTGGTGATGAACAAGGAGATTTGGAGAGGCTCTTCTGGAGGCAGTCTTTAAATATGTTGTTGATGACAAGACAAGACCGGCAGATAGAGATGAGAGATTGGTATGGAGGACGACAAAACGATGGAGGAGCAGTCCCGGAAACGCCATAGCAGACTGGAAAATCTCGGAGAGAGCGAGTGACATGTGTCGCGGGGCACGCATGGCGGGGGAGACAGGTACCTCCTCATGCCGGTTTGACGTGAAGTTTCGTACCTGTCAAGCCAACTTGGCTAAGCAATCCGAAAACCTACTATTTCCCGCCACGGCCATGTTCCCGCTTGGCCGTGCCTCGTGGATCATCGTGGTGATGCTCGTGGAGCAGGAAAGACGGGGCGAGATTCAGATCTGTGGAGAGCGTTGCGATGGAGGCGTCGAGGAATTGGGAATTTCAGGTTTTGGATGGACGAACAGAGGCAAAATCGCCGACAGGCTTCCTGAATGAGGCACATCCTTTTTTTCGAGAGCGTCTCCAGTTTTTCCAGAACTCTTCAAGAATTCCCTCTTTTGAGTATCACATGACCTGGTCGCAGCTTTTGTCTGCCAAGCCCTGCCTCTTTGGGACCGCTGGAAAACACCAAGAATCCCGCGCTCGCAGTTCTGGGGAATTATTCCCGAAATTCCTCAACCACATCCCTGCAACTCCATCGCTTCCTCCACACCATCATCCCGCTTCTCCTCCACGCCAGCCGCCATCCGGGAAGGCCTCTGAATGCAATGTGACGGCGCCTTGCGTCTCTCCCTGCGGCGAAGCTTAATTCACGCCCCGCCGCATCATCATGGGATTCGCAGACTATTTTTGAAATTCCCTCTTTCGAAGTGCCTCCAAGGCACGCCTCCCGGGATCCCATGCAGCGCATCTCCATCCCCGCGGGATCCCCTCCTGGATTCAGTAATGGCTTCCCACTGATTGGGCGTTCACGAA